CCTTAAACCTTGAAGTCAACAAAAACTAAAAAATCAAACTAGAAAACCTTGGACCTCGAATCTTAAACCCCAAAACCTAAAAGCAAAGTTCTATTCCTTATTGAGTTTTTGTACCCTTAAAAAATGTTACCCCACTGTGGCAAAGAAATCTGGCCCTAAACCCTAAACCCTAAACCCTAAACCCTAAACCCCAAGCCCCAAACCCCAAACCCTAAACCCTAAACCCTAAACCCTGGCCTGCTCTCCCGGAGTCCCACGCCGCGACTTGGGCCGCAATGCCCGTCGGGTTAGTGGTGCAGTCGAAGGCCGTGACGCCTGAAATCAGGGGGCTTTTGTTTAGGGTTCGGGGGTTTAGGGTTTAGGGATTATGTAGGGTTTAGGGTTCGGGGGTTTAGGGTTTGGGTTTAGGGTTTAGGGTTCAGGGGGGTGGTGTGTAGCGCGCGCCTGCATGGGCTTGGTAGCCCCGCCCCCCACCCGAATTATTCTCTTTTAGCGGGTCTAGGGCTCTACCCCCCCACCCCAGCCCTAGCAATGGGGGCTTCCTTGTTGCTCTTCTCTCAACTTGCTAGCCGATCCGGCTCCAACTTCAAAGGCTTCTAGGCCGTCTTCAGGCGCCAAAAGCACCTTGCGAAGCGCCCGTCCACCAAGGCTGGGGGGGTAGCTGAGGCCTTTACCGGCCTGGATGTGAATGGGATTCCTTTTTGGGAGCCCGAAAGTCCAAATTGCCTGCTGGTAGCCAAGGACGTTCCTTCGCAATGGGAGGAGGAGACCCCCAGAAGACGCGTACGGGTTGCTGGGAGGATGCTGTACCCTCCCAAGTTCGTAGGTGCGCCACGCGCCAGGGAAGTGCCCTGTCAGCTCCCATGTATATGGGCAGCGGTGCTCTCCGCCGGTTTGGTGTCTCAGGGCTCAGGGTTTACTTTTAGGGCCGCAATGGTTGAGGGTAAAGGCAGAAGTTTTGTGGCCGATGGTTCTGGTGTTCTGTCGCACTAGGGGCGAAGTTCTCCGCACCCCCTAAAACCCTAAACCCCAAACCCTAAACCCGAAACCCTAAACCCTGACAGGTGCCCAAACAAGGGCGGGTGACGGGTTACAACGTCAGCGGCTTGCAAAGCGGGGAACGAAGGTAGCTTGACTTCCCCTAGAGCCCTTAAGGGTTGTATATACCTTACATAGTCCCTATGTACCTAAGTAGCCCCTAAAAAGGCCCCAAAGAACCCCCTAAGGTCCCTTTTCAGGTTCCCTCCTTTAGTTCATGAAATATAGCTGTATAATCCTTTAAAGGGTATATATAGGGGGATGTAGGGTACCAAAATTCCCAAGTTCCCTGACAAAAAAAACAGTAAGGCGAGGTAGGGACCTTCGGAGTAGAGTCCCAGAGTTGCCTAGGAAGAACAAGGAACTAAACCCTAAACCCCTAAACCCTAAAAACCCTAAACCCTAAACCCTAAACCCTAAACCCTAAACCCTACTTCAACTAGCTGAAAACGGGGATCAGGGCCCTCCTTGTGCATTCGTGTAGGCGACGCCCATGCAAGATCTGTACGGGCCGTATGCCTCGGCAGGCTATCACGGGTTCTTAGTAGGGAATGAAGGAATGAGGTACCCTATATGATCCCTTGAAGGGGTGGATACATAAGGAGAGCAGAAGGCCCTGCATTATGACCCTTTTTAGGGTATATATACGGGGAGACATATTACGTGCTTAGTTCCCTCACTCCCTACGAAGAACCAGGGGGGCTTAGGGCTGAAGGTGCAGGGCTTAGGGCTTTAGATGCGCGAAGGCCTCAAACCCTTCGACTGTCCCCCCTGAGACAAAAACCCTAAACCCTAAACCCTACACCCCAAACCCCAAGGGATTATAGTACCCCCGAGATTAAAGCCCCTCTTGAAGGACTGCTAGTATAAGGGGGAACATCCCAACCTTGGACCATAGACCCCGGGCCGTTAATCATCTTTCTTGCTTATTCTTGTTGTTGTTCTCAATATTCTTATTATTGGTATTGTTATTATTATTCTGCTTATTAGGTGAGAACGAGGCGGCAACTATCACCTGGCCTCAAGAAGCTCCACCTCGCAACCCTAAACCCTAAATCCATAAACCCTAAACCCTAAACCCTAAACCCTAAACCTGCGATGGCACCAAGCCCTTCGGGCCTCCTTGGACCCACCCGAGCCCACGGCAAGCAGGAGCTGAACAACCCCCTTAAGCCAAGCAAACCTGAGAAAAGAAGCGTTTAGGGTTTAGGGTTTAGGGTTTAGGGTTTAGGGCTTAGGGTTTAGGGTTTAGGGTTTAGGGTTTAGGGTTTAGGGTTAGGGTTTAGGGTTTAGGGTTTAGTGTTTAGGGTTTAGGGTTTAGGGTTTAGGGTTTAGGGTTTAGGGTTTAGGGTTTAGGGTTTAGGGTTTAGGGTTTAGGGTTTAGGGTTTAGGGTTTAGGGTTTAGGGTTTTAGGGTGTTAGGGTTTAGGGTTTAGGTTTAGGGTTTAGGGTTTAGGGTTTAGGGTTTAGGGTTTAGGGTTAGGGTTTAGGGTTTAGGGTTTAGGGTTTGGGTTTAGGGTTTTAGGGTTTAGGGTTTAGGGTTTAGGGTTGAGTGTTTAGGGTTTAGGGTTTAGGGTTTAGGGTTTAGGGTTTAGGGTTTAGGGTTTAGGGTTTAGGGTTTAGGGTTTAGGGTTTAGGGTTTAGGGTTTAGGGTTTAGGGTTTAGGGCTGAGGGCTTAGGGCTTAGGGTTTAGGGTTTAGGGTTTGGGGCCTAACTCGTTTGCTGTTTTGGCTTAAGCTCCAAAACCCTAAACCCTTTAGAAACCACAGCTTAGCCATCTTGGCGTGTGCGCAACACCCCTTCGAGCCGGGGACGTACCGGGTGTAGAAATCCTGCGGCTGGTTGGACCCAATGCATCAAACCCTAAACCCTAAACCTTCAAAGGTAGAGTGGGAGGCTGGCCGGGAGAGCCAGTAACCCCTGCCTGACACCCTACTTGCCTACAGGTTAGTTTTAAGTATCCCCCAGCCTATTTCGTAGGTATAACCCTGAAAAAAATCTGTAGGTAAATACGGTCCCAGACCCTAAACCTTGAACCCGAAACACCAAACCCTAAGCCCCCTTCTCCTTCATGAGTTCTAGCTCTGCCATGGTGTCGTCGTACCTGCGTCAAGAGGATCCGCAGGGTGCGCTGGCCTATTTAGGGTTTAGGGTTTGGGGTTTGGGGTTTAGGGTTTAGGGTTTAGGGTTTAGGGCGTCTCGCCGCGCAGCGGCAGTAAGTGCCATGTGTAAATGGCGCCCCTACACACCCAGGGGGTGTGGGGGGGCGGCATGTCACGCCATCTGTTGTCAGTGTAATCCAAAAATCTCATTGCTGCTGGGTTCTTTCTCCCCACCCGCTGTGAGCTTTCACAGGCCACCACCCAAACCACTGCCTTTTAGGTTTAGGGCTGTCGCCATCAATTCCCACCATTGCCTTCCCTACAAAGGTGCGGCGGGGCGGGGGGTCAACAGGAGAGGGGGGTCACGGAAAAGGGGGTTTTTGGTTCGGGAAGGGGTACCTCCCTATGGCAGAATTGAGATTTCAGGAATTTCGGGTCAGGGTCCAGGGGGCCTCCAGAGGGGGGCCCAGACGGTCCAGGGTGGTGGACTTCTGAGAGCTCCGGTTCTCATCAAGAGGAGGATCAGAGCATCCCTGTGTAAATATGGGCGCCACTCTGGTGGCCTAGTGGCAAGGCGAGCCCTAGGGGCTCTCTATTCGACCATTCTCCAATGGCTCCACCCATTGTCCATCCAGTAAAGGTGTCCGTCACTGCCGGGCATCTTCTGGGTCCAGGCACCCTAGAACAGGGTGGGTACGGCCTAAGCAGGCCGGGTGGGAATATAGGGTTTAGGGTTTAGGGTTTGGTGTGGTTGGCCAGAACGGGCGCTTTAAGCGGTTGGTAGTTGGAATAGCTACAAAGTACATGGACAAATATGCGCAAAAGAGCACGGTACTGATATTTATTGAGGCTCCCGTACTAGGTTTCCCGCAGATCTTCCGAAACGTCAGAGGTTAGGGTAAAGGGGCTTACTAGTTCATGGTTGGGATAGTATTAAAATTTTAAATTTATATTCCTTATTGGGTTTAAGTACCCTTAAAAATGTAAAATGTTACCCAACTATGACAAAGCTTAGTCTCTTGTTCCGCAGCACCATCTCTGGACAGTGGTGCCTGCCCTCGTCAATGTTGTTGGAGAGGCGGTTCACCCACGTCTGGAGAGAGTAGTCCTGCAAAGTCTCAAGCCCTAAGCGCCCTCAAACTACCGGACTTGAGTTTGCGGAGAAGGGGAGAGAAAGCCCATTCTCTTGCTTCACCCGCTTTGGCCTCACATTGAAAACCAGAAAGTCAACCCTGCACCCGTAAACTCTAAACCCTAAACCCACAGATCTGAACACGTCGCCCCGTCCGTCTGGGGGAACGTCCAAATGTCGAAGAGTGGTATGACCTCGTCCGTGAAGGTTCCCGGTAAGCATACGTAGAGACATAAGTACATCACATGAGGTATAACCACTTAGAGAAACAGTTGTGCTACTACACCCCTGAACCCCCCCAAGCCCGAAAAGCGTAATCCCTACCTGCCAAAAACCCCTACAAGCCTAAAACTCTAAAACCTTGAAAACCTGAAACTCTGGACCCCCTAAACCCATAGAAACCCTAAACCCTAAAAACCCTGAAACCCTAAACCCTGAAACCCCAGAACGCTAAAGCTCAGGAACCCTAAGTTAAGTTGGGCTCCCTACTAAACCTTGAACCCTAAACCCTAAACCCTAAACCCTAAACCCTAAACCCTAAACCCTAAACCCTAAACCCTAAACCTTGAACCCGAATCCCTAATCCCTAAACCCTGAAGGGCTCCGCAGGCGCAGGTTTTGGTGGTCAGTTATTGGCGGTCACTTGGCTGCACTCAGGAGGGTAGCTATAAATTAAACTTTTAGCTGCCTTATTAAGAAGCCCAATAAACCCCAAAAGGCTAAAGATGCAGCAAAGTTACAGTAAAGCACCACAAAGGTCAGTTAGCCTTCAGGGCCCATGCGCCTACATCGTATAGACTTTGGTTGGACTGAGGGTTCAGGGTTTAGGGTTTAGGGTTTAGGGTTTGGGGTTTAGGGTTTAGGGTTTAGGTAGGGTTTAGGATTTAGGATTTAGGATTTAGATTTAGGGTTTTGGGCTTTAAGGTTTTAAGGCTTTAAGGTCGACCCTCAACCCTACAGCCCACACCCCAGAGGCCATTCAGGAACCCTAAACCCTAAACCCTAAACCCTAAACCCTAAACCCTAAACCCTAAACCCTAAACCCTAAACCCTAAACCCTAAACCCTAAACGGCGGATCTCAAGGGGAGCTGAGGCCATCCAAGAGCCGCGCCATCACCAGGATGATTGTAAGGCAGGCGACTCTTGTAGCAACCCTGAGCTTGTTGGGGTTTAGGGTTTAGGGTTTAGGGTTCAGGGTTTAGGGTTTAGGGTTCAGGGTTCAGGGTTCAGGGTTTAGGGTTTAGGGTTTAGGGTTTAGGGTTTAGGGTTTCGGGCCCAGGGTTTCGGGCTCAGAACTTAAAGGGCCCGGCTTTACTGCTCAGCTTGGCACGGCATGAGCAGTAGCGCAACTGCTGGCAAGCCTGTATAGACTCCCAACCCAAAACCTCGAACCTGCAATCTAGGTTCCAAACCTACCTGGGACCTACTTCCAACTGTCGTCCGAGTGCGTGCACCGGGCTGCGTGTATGCAGATGGTCTCGGGTATCACGAACATGAAGAGAAGGAAATTAGAGCTTGCGCTGCTAAAGTGAGGAAAGGCTACGGCGTCCACAGGCACGACATCTGATAGCCCTCTTGCCCTTGCAGGATGATCGGAGCACTGAGCGGAGTATTCTGGACGGAGGTCCTACATATCGGGGTTCCAGGCTTCTTGCTCCAAACATGACAGACTATGGAGGATCAATACTTCTGTGAAGCGTGAACACATTCCTTGAGGAGAGGGTCTCATGGCGCAACATCGCCACAGGAGGCAACATAACATCAAGGTAGCCAACGTGTTTCCTGCAACTCGTGCGTCAAGGTTCCTTGCTTTTGCGTTTAGGGTTCCTCGGAACAAGAATCCTCTGCACATCTTGGGAGGTCCCCAGAAGCTAACATGACGGAACGCATGACTCAACTCGGCTGCTGACAGGTTTGCGAGCTGGCCCGAGATCATCGACGCAATTCCTGTCCTTGATCAGTTGCGTCATGACGCTGGACGTGCACTTTACTATACTCCCCTTAGAACCTTAATGAAAAACATGTATTCTTAATATCCTCCTGGTTTTTATAAAAACAAAAACAAAATATAATTCCCAAGGGGATAGAGTTTAGGAGGTATGGAAGCACTTGAGGGGCGTGTAGGGGTGTTCCGTCTCTGGGTACTTTGGATTGGGCTTTAAGCTGCGCCTAGAGTAACCAACATACCTGCAAAACAGGGAAACGGGATCCGAAGAAAAGGAAAAAATCCTTGTTCAGAGGGTGTAGAGGATGCTCAAGGTACAGGTTCCGGAAAGTCTTCTTGGCTGCACTTAGGAGGGCAGCTATAAATAAAATCTGTAGCTGCCTTACTAAGAAACCCAAAAAGCCCAAAAAGGCTAAGGACCTAAAGTTGCAGTAAAGCACCACAAAGTCTTGGAGAGCTTCGAACTTCAGCCGAAACCTTCCATGCGGTGTCTCGCCTCAACCAAAACCCCTCAACACTAAACTCGGTGGCGGTGTTGAGTGCTCGGAATCATTGGGAGTCGGGATTTCATTGCACGGCGCGGGTTTAGGGTTTAGGGTTTAGGGTTTAAGGTTTAGGGTTTAGGGTTTAGGGTTTAGGGTTTAGGGTGTAGGGCTTAGGGCCAAGGGCTTAGGGTTTAGGGCTTAGGGCTTAGGGCTTAGGTCTTAGGGCTTAGGGCTTAGGGCTTAGGGCTTAGGGCTTAAGGCTTAGGAACCTCGAGCTGCCCTACAGGCTCTTCGCTGGCGAAACCATGTCAGGATGGGGCCCCGACTTGGTCTCGTCCTGCTTGTCGCCGCCCGCGAGGAAGGGCAAGAACCGCAGGAAGCGGAGGACCTCGGCGCCCCCCCAAGGCACCCAAAGGAGGGTTTAGGGTTTAGGGTTGAGGGTTTAGGGTTTAGGGCCCCCAAGGGACTTTTCTGGGTTGCGGGCTCAATCATGCTCCTGCCTGCCCCTTTTTCGACCTTCTGAACCCCCAAACCCCCAAAACAACCCGCAAAAACACAAAGCCTCGGCAGAAAATCCGAAGCTCTGAGCACTTCGGGTTTGCCTTTGCAAGCTGCTAAAGACATTCCTCAAGATGGTCCTCTCTGAATGGAGACCCAGGAAGGGTAAACTCACAATACCTCAGCCCTGGGGCCCTAGAACTCCGATGAATCCTTATTCAATCCAAATAAACTCCATAGCACTCTAGCACCACGAAGCCCTATTAAACTCATGGAATCCGTATCGATCCTTTGAAGCATAGAGCCTACACCACAAAATCCCCGCGAGCCATGTAAGATTGCGCACTAAGTACGAATCCTGCACGCCGCGAACCTCCACGAACGCCTGGAGTCCTCCTTCTCGGGCCCTTGCGCGCGAAAGGCGGCCCGCGCGCGCTCCGACCTGCCAGAGCCCGGTTGGGGGTTTTAGGCTTTTTCGGGTGTAGGGGTTCAGGGTTTAGGTTTTTTCTAAACCCTAGACCCTCACGAAACGCCCCAAACCCCCAAAATTCAAATGCCAAACCCCAGAAACCCAAATCTAAACCCCCTCTAAACCTTCGTAAACCCCCTCTGAACCTTCGTAAACCAGAAAACCTAAGCCCCTCCATGCACAAGCAAACCATCTCTCTTTACGTCCTGATTAAACAACCTAAAGCCCCCTAAAGACCCCAACACCCCCCCTTAAGCCCCCCAAACCCCAAGCCCACCAAAAGCCCCTAAAGCCTCCCAAAACCCCCAAACCACAACCTCCAAACCCCAAACCCTAAACCCCCAAACCCCCAGAAACCTAAACCCTTAACCCTAAACCCTAAACCCTACACCCCTAAACCCCTAAACCCCTAAACCCCTAAACCCCTAAACCCCTAAACCCTAAACCCTAAACCCTAAACCCCCTGAGCCCCACATGCAACCGCCAAGCCCTGGACCTCCATTCACATGAAACCTCAGGCGTCCAATTCAGATCCTCTTGCAGCCCTATCAGACAAAGGAAGTGAAGCAGGTTTAGGGTTTAGGGGTTTAGGGGTTTGGGGGTTTGGGGGTTTAGGGGTTTAGGGGTTTAGGGGTTTAGGGGTTTAGGGGTTTAGGGGTTTAGGGGTTTAGGGGTTTGGGGGTTTAGGGGTTTAGGGGTTTAGGGGTTTAGGGGTTTAGGGGTTTAGGGGTTTAGGGGTTTAGGGGTTTAGGGGTTTAGGTGTTTAGGGGTTTAGGGGTTTAGGGGTTTAGGGGTTTAGGGGTTTAGGGGTTTAGGGGTTTAGGGGTTTAGGGGTTTAGGGTTTAGGGTTTAGGGCTCCTCAGAAGTTTGGGAGACCAAACGGCTTTCCGCAGGCCGCCCTGCCTTGGCAGCCCTGGCGGCCCTAAGAAGCATGAGGTTTGCGGTCGCGTCCGCGCTGTTCGAAGCCTTGGCGCTTGAGGGTTTAGGGTTTGGGGTTTGGCGCTTGAGGGTGTAGGGTTTGGGGTTTAGGGTTTGGGGTTTAGGGTTTGGGGTTTAGCGATTGAGGGTTCAGGGTTGGGCTTGGGGGGCGGGGGTGGGGATTCTCAGGGGCTTCTTGGGTTTAGGGCTTAGGGCTGAGTGCTTAGGGTTTAGGGCAGGGCTTAGGGTTTAGGGGTTTAGGGGTTGGCCTTGGAGTCATAATGTCGGGTTGGGGAGGCATCTCTGCTCCAAAACCCTAAAAACCCTAAAACCCCTAAAAACCCTCAACACCCTAACCACCCTAAAAACCCTAAAAACCCTAAAAACCCTAAAAACCCTAAAAACCCTAAAAACCCTAAAAACCCTAAAAACCCTAAAAACCCTAAAAACCCTAAAAACCCTAGAAACCTTATAAACCCTGTAAACCCTATAAACCCCATAAACCCTATAAACCCTATAAACCCCATAAACCCTAGAAACCCTATAAACCCCATAAACCCCAGAAACCCTAAAAACCCTATAAACCATATAAACCCTATAAACCCTAAAACCCTAAACACCCTAAAAACCTTAAAAAATCCTAAAAACCCTAAAAACCCGAAAAACCCTAGAAACCTTATAAACCCTATAAACCTTATAAACCCTAAAAACCCTAAACCCTGGTGCTATCCATGCCTCAGCTCCCGGCTACTTGAGGCTCGTCCGCGGCCACGCCCAACATAAAGGAGATGTCGAAAATCATGGAGACTGTGCCTCGGAACCCTAAACCCTAAACCCTAAACCCTACACCCTAAACCCTAAACCCTAAACCCTAAACCCTAAACCACACTCCAAAGAAGAAAGCAGCTCGTGAACGTCTTCGGCGCAGGCCGTGGAGACTAAGCTTGGGCCTTCGAAGCCCTTGGGGGCCAAGGGAAGCTTAGTTGTCCAGTAGCCAGGGGAACTAAAGGTTAACCTTTGGGATTATAAGGCCCTAAAAAGGTTAAAGGTTACCTACTCCACTACTAAGGAAGACGGGGGAGTCGGCGTCGTTCGGGTTGAGGCGAGTAGGCAGCGGGTGGAGAGCGCGATGCTGGGCGTTGGGCAGAGGTTCTCCTGGCAGATCGACTGAGAGTCCCGGCCAAATATGTCCATGAGCTGGAAAAAGCTGAGGGTGTAATGCGAGTCCTCGGTGCGTCGGAATTTTGGGCCCCTTGGGGGCTGCGTACTCTAGCCCAAAACAGGTTAACCTTCTATAGTAAGGTTCTATATACCCAACAAGGTTAAAGGTTACCTACCCAGTCCCTAAGGCCCTAAGACCCCTTTTACTCGTTGAAGAATGGGAGATATATGCGAACCATCGCGCACGTTTACCCTTCTAACGTGGGGTGCCCAATGGCTGTTTGCCCCCACAGGCACTGCAATGTGACCCTTTCTGGGTGCACTACATATCTGGATAACCAGTATTGCCCAAGAAGCGACCCGAATCTAGAAAACTGGTGAGGTAGGTTGCTCATATATGGGGGCCCATTTGGTTGGAAAAGTAATTCTCAACCCCAAGTTTTGGGAAAGTAAAACCCTAAGCTCTAAGCCACAAACTCAACAGCACGAGAAGTTCAGAGGGAACATGCCAACTTGTGTGGCAGTCGTTCCTTCGGTTTAGGGTTTAGGGATGATGAAGTAAGATTGTCTTGTTAGGGTGCCGATGATCATAATATGTGCTTTGGGGCTTGGAGCCCCTTTGCATCCCAAAATGTTCTCGTATCACTCTTATTTCCAGCACAGGACCCCCCAACCCCAGATTTCTGCAAACCCCCCGGGGGGAGGGGGGGAGGGGGGGAGGGGGGGGGAGGGGGGAGGGGGGGAGGGGGGGAGGGGGGGAGGGGGGGAGGGGGGGGGGGGGAGGGGGGGAGGGGGGGGGGGGGGGGGGAGGGGGGGAGGGGGGGAGGGGGGGGGGGGAGGGGGGGGGGGGGGAGGGGGGGAGGGGGGGAGGGGGGGAGGGGGGGAGGGGGGGAGGGGGGGGAAGGGGGGGGAGGGGCGGGGCTTCGCCAAATTCGAGCCCCTTCGAAACGTACCTGCTTTTATGCGGAGCTTTATAGTAAGAGTCCCCAGAAAGGGACCATGACTCGGAGAACTGCAGGGATCCGCTTTGCAGGTCTCGCGTCGGGAGAGCCACGTTGAACTCGAGGGTTTAGGGTTTAGGGTTTAGGGTTTAGGGTTTGGGGTTTAGGGTTTAGGGTTTAGGGTTTAGGGTTTAGGGTCTAGGGTTTAGGGTTTAGGGTTTAGGGTTTAGGGTTTAGGGTTTAGGGTTTAGGGGTGCACTGTAGATGGCAGTCTGGTAACCTCGAAACCAACGCACCTACTTCTGAGGGCGAAAGGTCTAGGGCTGAGGAATGCTTGGCGTGTCACAGCCAGGACGCAGATGCCGATGCCTGTGTCGAAACCTTGTTGCCTTCAACCCTAAGCCCTCACAATCCCCGCCCCCTTCCTTGAGCTCCGGACAATAACGCTGAGCAACAGCAGCTCTATGGTGAAGAGTACCTTGGCGCTTCCCAGATCTTATGAGTGGACGCGGGGAAATTAGGCCACCATTCGGCACCTCCTACCGCCACTCAACCCTCAACCCTAAACCCTAAACCCTAAACCCCAAACCCTAAACCCCATGGATACCGACATCCTGATTCCCTTTGGGATCTTCGGACTTTTGGGCAACCCAGCCCCCCACCCCAAGGGAGCCCTTGGTCCGGACCCGTACCCCCGTTTAGGACCCCAATCTGTCGAATACCCTCCGCCCGGGCAAAGTGGAATCCAGGCCGACACCCGTTTGACTAAGAAGGATCATGATTGGGGGTTTCGGACCCCGCCCACAAAATCACCCTTTTCGGCCAACCCCCCCCCGCCCCCAACCCCAACCCCACCCCACCCACGCACAAATGGCGCCCGAATCCCCCTTGGACGGTCTTGGGGTAGTTCGGACTACAGCCATAAGCAGGCGAACAGCAACTTGAGGCCTGGTTCTAACGCCCCCCTCCTAAACTTACTGGTTCTTAGTAGGGAACGAGGGAAGTAGGTACCACAGATGGGTTTAGGGTTCAGGCCCGGGCTTGGGGTTTAGAGTTGACTGTTTAGGGATCAAGCCTTGCAGTCTATTACAGGGGATAGAAGGTGCCGAACCCCTTCCTTCCCTACTACTTGGTGGCCCAGCAACCATATTGTAATCAGGGCACCCTTTTGTTACTTTACAAGGGAACCACTGGGCTAGCAAGACTAGTATAGGGCTCGGAATAATTACCAAAACATTCCCTTATGGTCCCTGTATAATTATACTCTAACAACCCACGCAAAACCCAACCCCTAAACCCTAAACCCTAAACCCCAATTATGCAGGGCTCTACACTAGGACCAGGGGAAATTTCTCAAGGCTTGAGAACGAGGGGCCATGACCAGCGTCAGGACCTGGGCACTGGCTGCCGATTGAACTTCGTAGGGTTTAGGGTTTAGGGTTTAGGGTTTAGGGTTCAGGGTTCAGGGTTCAGGGTTTAGGGTTTAGGGTTTAGGGTTTAGGGTTTAGGTTTAAGGTTGGACATTGGGGCTATATACATGGCTTGACGGGTTGCGGAGGGGTATCACACATCGATGCTGTTGAGGAGAGGACCCTTGTCCGTAGTACAGGAGCCGAAATGGGTGCCAAGATTATGTGCTTTCAAATCCCTAAACATGTGGGTAGTTCTCTTAACTAGGTCCCCTTGACAGTCCCTATGCAATTCGGCACCTTTACAATAAGGACCCCAAAGCAAGCCCTAATGTGGAAAACTACCCATGTACATGAGAACTTCACAACATCACCCATCCGACGGGACTTGGCATGGTTTGG